TTTCTGATTGCAGCGTTCTCCTGGAGGCAATGAGCAAGCTCGTTGCGGGTCGCCGGGCGTCTCCCCGGGGGCCAGTGCTGCGGGGCCGGCTTCCGTGGGCGTGTCGTCCGTGCGTCTCTCTTCTCCGGGGAGATATCTGTTCAATCCTTTGCCCATTTTAAATCGGGTCGTTTGCCTTTTTGTTGAGGTGGGACAGTTCTTTAGGTATTCAGGAAACTGGACTCTTACCAGGTACATGATTCTGAAACATTTTCTCCTATTCCATAGATTTTTAAAAAGGATTTACTTTTAATACTGATTATAAATATTTTAATATTATATATTAGTAGCTTTAGCATTGCTTCTCCTTCCTTCCTTCCTTTCCTCCCTCCCTCCCTCTCTCTCTCCCTTTCTTCCTTCCTTCCTTTCTTTCTTTCTCTCTTCCCTCCCTTCTCTCCTTCTTTCCTTCCTCCCTCTCTCCCTCCTTCCCTCCCTCCTTCCCTCCCTCTTTCCTTCCTTCCTATCTCTTCCTTCCCCTCCCACCCCACCCGGCTTGCCTGTTCACTTGTGAGTTTTCCCCAACCAAAGACCCACAACCCCACACTCCTGCCCCGCCCCTGAGGAGGTGGCTCTCCTTTCCTGACGCCAGGCCCTGGGCCCAGTGGGTGCTCACTGAGGCATGTGGTCTCCGGGAGGGAGGTTCTTGCTGCTATGAAAATGGTGGTTAGGAAACAGCCTTTTGATGTGGAAAACACTGGTTACAAAATAACCATCCAATAAAATGTAAAAATAGGTCTCCCGGGGATGACGGCATCCCTTGAAACACACCTGGATAAACAAGGAGGGAAAGGGAGGGCACCCACTGGGTTCTTCTTTCTCCCTCCCTCCTGCCCCCCCTTGTCCCCTGCCCCTCGTTTCTCACGGGCTCCCTCCCTCTCGTCACGGGGAAAGGGGAATGACCTTCTGTTTCAGTAAGAGAGTCAGAACATCTCGACCCCTTCGGGGTGCCCGGGAGAGCAGAGCAGGCCTGATGAGCCCCTTGCCCTGAGAGAGCCCCCGCCTGCCCCGGTGCCTGGCCTTCCCCTGGGAATCCATCCCACTACCCTATCCAGTGCCTCACACGTGCGTTACGCCCCCAGGCAGGGCTCTCTGCTCGCCTCCAGGGGCCCGAGTGGTCCCAGTCACGGGGCACCCGCAGCCCAGCCAGGGCACCCGCCCCTCCCTGAACCCTGAGGCGGTAGACTGTCTGGAGAGCTGGCTGTGCGGGGCCTGGGTCCTGAGCCCTGGTGGCCCTGCTGTCACCACCCCGCTGGCTGCTCTGTCTCAGGCCGGAGACCCCATCCGAGTGCTCCCGTGCACAGAGCGGGGAGGAGGGGCTGCAGACGCCAGCGCGTGGGAACAGCTGCTGGAACAAGCTCTGTTGGATTCATGGGCAGGGCCCACCCCCTTCCCAAGGCATCTTCCCTGGCACCCAGAGTACTTACTCCCTAGCATCTCCCCAAAACAGCCCCCAGGACGAAGCTCACTCCCCCAGGCTGCCCCAGGAGGGTCTGCGCTGGGGGGACAGGCCCGCACAGAGGGGACAGGTGGTGGGGACGACAGCAGCCCCCTGTCCACACGCCGGCCCTTCGGGTAGCAGCAAGCATGCACAGGTAGGAGGTGGACCAGCCCCGATCCCAGCATACCCTGCCTCTGGGCCCTGCCCGGGGTCTGCCCTGGTCGGCCCGCAGCTCACGGAGCTGTGAACCCAAGCACTCTGCCCAAGGACCCTCTGAACTGACCGGCTGGGGCCAGGGGCCTCCCGCCCGCCAGCCCCGAGCCAGGGCCTGGGTCTGCAGCACCAAGAAAACACTTGAGAACAGGTGGTCAGTGCACCCGACTCTCCCAGCCCCCAGCCCCCTCTGTGGGTTTGTTCCGACCACGTGGGCCACTGTGGCCACGTGAGTGGACGAGATGCGTGGTGACTCCAAGTGGAGACAGTTCGGAGCTAGCGAGCCGTCCCCGCCCCACTTCCCCTAGCATGGTGACCTTGAAGCCCACGGGTTCAAGTTGAAGTCGGCCTTCTTGCGAGATGAAAGGAGCCAGGAAGCCCGAGTCGCCGCATGGAGGGACCACGTCAGAGACCCCACGAGACTCTGACGCGGCAGGAAACAGAGCTGGGCCGCCCGCTCTGAGTCACGGGTCGGGGGCTCCTCTGTTCCCGGGCATCAGCCGGTCCCGTCCGGCGGGTGGGACCAGGGCCGGGCTCCCGTCTCCCTGAGCCCTGGGGATAGTGCGGACACGCGCAAATGGCTTCCAGCGCCTGCGTCCGAGCGCCCCCTGGAGGAAGGACGCCGTCTTATCCGTCCCATTGCTGTAAGATGAAAATGAGATAATGCCTGGCCCAGACAGGACTCAGAAGAGGGGGCCTGTCCTGTCTGTTTCAAATGTACTCTGTCATCTAATACCCATCTTACAGATTAAGAAACCAAGGCTCCCAGGGGTCAGGCTTCCCCTTGAGGTTACAGAGCAAATGAGTCACGGAGAAGGGGTGGGAGTGAGAAGTCTCAGGTCTGGGGGTGCAGCCTGGGCCCGGGTCCAGCGGTGCTGGGTGACATTGCTTTCCAGAGGGTCTGCTTGCCTGGGGTTCTGACCTTTTCCGACTTGGTTGGGACTTTCCTCTTGACCCAGTTTTCTTGGCCCCGTGGCAGGTGTCTTCACCTCCTCATCTGGAGGGCGTGGGGCTTGATGATACCTAATGCCAAGGCTTTTTTAAGCTCTGACCTTATACACGGGCGTGTGTGTTTGCTCCGGGGGTTCGTTCCCAACCGAACCCCGTGTGGAAAGAAATCCACTGGCTGACCGTGGGTCCATTGCGCCCTCTGGTGGCCACCATCAGTAGTAAGCCCGCTCTCCACTCATGGCCAAGGTCAGAAGGAACGTTTTGGCAGTTCTGGGCATTCCCAGGGCAGGGCAGGCTCTGCAGCGACAGAACAGCCTGTGGGGGCTCCTCTCCAAAGTACTTGGTTTTGGAGCAAAGCTGAGAACCTAGTGTCCCCTGCTCCCGGGAGGAACAGAGGCTTATAATCCTCACCCAGCGCTCGGGAACTCCCCATCTTGCTTTTGAAGACTTGGCTGCACCTTCTCCTCCCTGGCAGTTGTTTCGCCTCCTCGAGGCTCAGCTTCTTCATCCTGCAGCAGGAACCATGCCTCTTGCCAGAGCTATTGCAGGACTGAGTGAGGTTAACGGAGGCAAGATGCTTAGTTCAAGTTCATGGCATGCAAAAGGGAGCCACGGCTGTTAATGGTCCCCTACAACTGTTCCTGGTGGTGCCACGGGCTGCCTGCCCCCCCCCCCACTAGTCTGTGACCCTCCGGCAGCAGAGATGTTGGCTCACCCATCTCCGCACCCTCAGCCCCCACTGCCCCCCTGGACGTACTTGTCCAAGGAAATGAAGGGATACATGACATAGATTAGTTTCCCCACAGTCCCGGGAGGCAGACATACCGGGACTCATCACTCCCACCTCACAGAGAATACCCGGATCTGGGCGTGTGACTCCCGGGACCTGTGGGCGCCCCGATCCAGCCGAGCCCCCTCCTTGGAGGACTTAGAAAGGGCAGGAGTCCTGCAGCAGTCCGCAAACCCATAACAATGATACCTCCCTGTTTCGGACAAAGTTTCAGGATGCCAGTCCAGCTGCTATAAAGCATGCAGGGGGGTGGGGGGAGTTCTCAGAATGTGTGGGGGCCACAGAAAGCTGAACCTGGACGTCTGTGGATCTGAAGGTGACTCGGGGCATCCAACCTTGGTGGCCAAAGTTACGCCTGAGCACTCCTGCCGGAAGGCTCCAGAAAGGAGACCCAGAGCTGACTGATAGCCATCGAGACCCTTTGCTTAAGGTCTTCTGTGCGCCGGGACCTACGCCAGGTGTGTGGCGTCCCAGGGGCAGCTGGCCCTGCAAAGAGGCAGGGTCCCCGCCCCGACTTCTGAGATGTACTAGGGGCGGGTTCTGGCCCAGCTCCCAGCCACGATGTTGGGGTGAGGACCGTGGCTCTGTGGGCACCCACTGATGCGTCTGGACCCCCCCCACCCCTAATTTTTCTTGGCTGTATCTGCCTACATAGTACTTAGCCTTTTCCTCCCAAGGGTACCCAGCACCTGGCTGCCTACTTTCCCTCCTTCCTGGCAGACGTTGTACATTAAGTGTGTTTACAGCCAACCAGCTTGTGCCCTTATCCTGGTGACCTGAGTGTCCTTGTGCAGCTCACACACAGGACCCGCCCTCCTGGGCCCCGGGAGTCTGCTCCCCGCCCTCCCTCCCCCCGCCTCCTCTCCATCACCTGGAACGACTCCGTCTTGAAGGCCACTCATTCAGACGCCTGTGCCCACAGCCTCCAGCTCTCACAGAGGCATCTGCAAGAGTCCCGAGCCCTGACACCTGCGGGTCCCCAGTCCCCTGCTCTGTGACCTGCCCCTCCCCCAGCTCCCACCTGCCTCTCCTCCTTCCCCAGTGGCTTCCATCACCTCGAGTTCCCCCACTGCAGCCGGTCCCATTCTATGCTCGTCCTCTCCGGCCTCCTGCTTCTTCCTCCCCCCAGACCTCACCTGCGTGGCAGCCAAGCAAGGCCATCCCACCCGGCTCCACAGTCGGGGAGGGGGGTCGGCCCCTCTAAGTTCGCCAGCTCCTCCCCTAGCCAGGCCCTCCGCAGAGCGGCTGGCACGAATCGGCCCTGAACGACGAGTTTCTTCTCGACCTCGCCCCCCTTCGGACAGCTGCTGCTGCTGCGGCTCCCCTGTCTCAGAGCAGACGGCGGGGGCGCTGAGAGGTCTGCCGGCGCCCCGCGGTCACACAGCAGGGAGAGGCGCAGGTCCCCCCGGGGACTTCACAGGGGCGGACGCTAGCTAACCCGGGAAGCCCAGGAGGTGAGGCCTCGGGTCCCCCCCTGGACTGAAAATCTCTCCCGAGGGGAAACCGGGAGGGGGAGGGGGGGCCTGAGGGCTCAGCCGTCCTAGAGAAATGACACCAACACCCGAACGATAAAATAGCTCTTTTTTTTAATCCACTTTGATTCAGATCATTGGAAATGCGTTCAACAATAAATAAAACACAGCAGAGGCCCAGGGAGGCGACTCTCGCGAACGCTCGGCTGCCCGAACACGAGGGCGAGGCCGGGGGGGGGGGGCGGGAAGGGGAGGGAAAAACCAAGGAACACCAACAACCAAGCAAACGAGATCGCCCAAAAGAAAAAGTGCTCGGGAGACTTTGGCTTTGACGTGAAATCGGGACATGCTAACGTGGTCGGGCACCGGGCTCACCCTGCGGGGCGGGGATTCCTGGCCCGGGGCGGGGTTTCAGCTGGCGTCCGGCTCGGGGCTGGGCCCCTGGGCCACAGACGGCAGATCCGTACTACTGTGGCCGACCCCAGACGCCACGAGGCCCGAGGGACGTCAGGAGGGCTGCCTGGAGGAAGCACAGCGGTCTTCGCCGAGAAAGAAAGTGCCAATGCCTGCTGCGGGGAAGACGGGCTCTGCCCCTCGCCGCTGCTCCCCGAGAGCCCCCTTCTTTTCCTCGCTCGGAGGTGTCACGCAGCACCCCTGGGTCACGAGCTGGTGTCCAGGACGAACGAGAGGAGGGAAGCTGACTCCACCTCAACGCTGGCCAGCCCGGGCGCCAGGGGAGGGGGACCAGCGGGCTGGCCACCTGTGGCCCGGTGGCTGCAGCCCAGATGTCCGAGGGAGAGGACAGCTGAGTCTGGATGGCACACGGCCAGCGTCCAGCCACCTTACACTAGACAGCGGCCACTCGGGCCTTGGGGTTCCTGGACAACCAGGCCAGGGACCATGCATGACGGGCGAGGCAGGGATGGCTCGGAGAGGGTAGGCGACTCTTTCCTGAGTTTCATTTTCTCTGGGTTTGGGCTGCCTGGAGGAGCACAGATAAAGCAAACAGCAGTCCCAATAGTCTGAATGGATTCCACCTTCGACCCAGAGGCCCAGTGCGTGTCGGGGCAGGGCCCGCCTCTCGCTGCCCCGTCGGCCGCAGCGGAGACCCAGACGCCACCGAGCCTCGGCACCCGCCCTCCCCACTGTGCCTGGCTTGCCTACTGCATATGTTTCCTTTCGACTGGTTTCTCCCGCCAACCCCAGTCCACGTGGCTTGCTGGGCAATAGCCAAGGGTGTCCACAGCATCAGTGTAAGCACTTTCTGCTCTGCCCCGGGTCACACTGGGAGCCAGAGGCTACACACCTGCCTCCTCTCGCCCTCAGCAGGTGGGAGAGGAGCGCACAGGTGTCTCCTGCTCCTGGCCCTCTGGGGGGTGGGAGGGAGGGGCGGGGGGCAGGGCTGAAGGCTGGGGTGCTGCTGGGCTCTCTCTGGTTCATGAGCCTCCCTCCTTACAGCTTCAGGCTCAGCGCTGCTTGCTGCAGGCAGGGGCACCTCTGCTCCCTGTCTGGGCCCTCGGCTGGTCTCCAAGGAGCTCTCTGCCCACCGCAGGGTGGATGATGGATGTGCCCTGGGCCCCAGGCAGCCCAACTGTGGGGAGGCGGTGGGCCTGCCAGAAAGCTCCCCAAGTGGCTGCACCGTGTGCTGCTGCCCACGGCGCCACCGAACACCTTGCGAGAAGCACTCGGGTCCGACCCTCAGCCGGTCCTACCCACAGTGTGGGTCCCACTGCTTTAAGCCGACCCATGCATTGACTTGTAATCCTGGCCACTGACTGGCGTTGGTTTCGTCAGTCCCCTTGGCTAAGGGAGTAGGACACAAGGCGGTGTCATGGCTGGGGCTACGGGAGCACACAGCTGTCCCCTCCCCGGGGCAGATGGCGTTGAGGAGGCAGGGACTACAGCCCCCCGGAGCCCCCCTGCAGCCCGAGGAGGCAGCCGGCGGCCAGAGGCTGGGCAGCCAGCAGCCTGCCCCCAGGGATGGTGCCTTGAGATGCGGGATGAACCTCGCAGGGGAAGCCCACCCCCGGATGTTTTAAACGTGGAGTCAGTGGTGCCCTGTTTTTTGCTCAAAATGTTCCTGTTGTGCTATTGGTCACCATCAGCTCACTTCTGCAAGTCGTGTCCCTCCCTGGGCCTTGCTGTTCTCATCTGTGAAATGGGAGAGCCAGATGCCTGGGGCTGGGAGAAACCCCAGGGCTGGAGCAGCCTGGCGGGAAGGAGGGAGACAGGGCAGGGAGCAGGCGGCAGACCCGAGCAGCTCGGCTGGGGGCACGTCCTCCCTTGGGGGGCCCGCTCTGGCTGCACAGCCCAAGGAAGCAGGCTCCTTGTCCTGGACGTGCCATGCTGGACAGGCTCGGCTTGCAGGAGAAGGGGAGAGGGGCTCAGGAGCCGGTCACACTGCCCCCCGTCCCCGTGGCCGTCTTCCCCAAGGTCTGTCCCTGGGACGGGTCGGCCAGCCACCCGCCGCTGGCCGAGTTCCTCACGTCTGGTGTCAAGTTCCGCCGTGGGCCTGCCCTGGGACAGCCATCCTCACAGCGATCTCTGAGCCCGTGTCCGTCCAGAGAGTCTTACGTGTAGGAGGACTTTACAGCTGGGAGAGGTTTTCTTGCTTGTTTGTTTCTAAAAAAACACTTTCTGGATTGTGAATCTTTAAGAATCTAATACAAGCTATAAAACCTTCCCCCAGGAAAATGCTCACACATACGGACTCAGAAAAAAAAATGTGGCACGCCATTTCTGGGGACTCCCTCGAGTTGCCTGGTGCCGGCGGTGGCCCCTGAGCTCCCACAGCTCCTCTCCCCTCACCGGCAGAGGAGACACCGAGGCCAGGAGAGCAGGGCTGGCCGGGGCGCCACGGGGAGCAGAGGTGGTAGGCCCTTTGGCTCCGAGACGGGCCTCCTGCGCACACCACTACGGAGGGCCCCGTCACACCTCCTCGGAGCAGCGGTGGCCTTTGGGGAAATGCCCTCAACGGGAGAAAAAATGGTTTTTCTATGAAATGTCAGTAACCGGAGCCCCCATCACTGCCCCCCCGTGCCTGGGAGGACTCCACTCCTCACCGGTCCCGAGGGTTCTGGAGGGCCCTGGCCCGAGGCTGGACCCGAGATCCCCAAGAGAAAAGAAAAGGCGGGGCCGGGAGAGAAGGAGGCACAGGGCACTCCACAAACCCACGGACCTGCCCCAAGGACCCCCCACTCCAGGCACCCCAATACACCCGAGTCTGAGGATCCCCACAGAGCACACAGTAAGCCCCCCACTGCCCGGCTGCTGCGTGGAGCAGGAGGAAGCGTCATTGAAACCCCAGGACCAGCGACAAAGTCAGAAAGTGCACGTGATGTCAGCTGAATACAACAACAACAACAAAATCAATAAATAATCAGGAAGGCTGACGAGGAAGAGAGTGAGAATGAGGTATGACTCCCCCCCCCACTCTGACGGTCGCATTCCTAGGGGCTCCCCCACCCCTGGGGGCACCACGCGGCGGGCCGGCAGGGACCCGGCCCAGAGCATGGGCCCTCGGGGGACACGCAGGTGGGGGAAGACCCTCTCCATGGGCTTCGAGGTGACGGCCCCTGGTCCAGCAGTCTGTGGAAAAGGGAAGGATGTCCCACGGCTTCTGAGCATTGGACCCATTCGGGGGCGGACTCAGGAAATGAGACGATGTCCCCAGCTAAGAGCCACGGGGGCGGTGGCCAGGGGTCCCCTTCCCCGAGTCGGGGCGCTTGCCTCGTTTCAGCCACCGCACGCACAGTCTCCCCAAAGACAAAGGCACATGGGGGCAGCCACATCTGCTCTCAGCCACAGCTTTAACGACAGACGGGTCGCCCGGGAGAGCACCGGCTTGGGGAGAGGGCGCCCGCTGGGGTCACAGGTGGCTCGCCACGACGCAGGCCTGCGGGGCGGGCACGCAGGGCCGTCCCCCCCAGGGAGGGGGAGGCCCGGCATCCGCCAGTAAGGTGTCATCCGGCCCCCAGTGGTGATGTGGCCCAGGCGGCCGTGTGCCGGAAGCCGTCCTCACTCACTCGGAAACATCCCAGCGAGAACCGGAGTCCGGGGGAGTCAGCCCAGGCCCCCCGGGCCGAGGAAGGTCTCTGCCCATGCCCCCTGGGAAACAGTCCTGCCCTTTCAAACACAGCAGTCTCCAGGAGACGGACTCGCCCACCTTCCGAAGCAGCGAGGGGTCTCCTCGCCCGGGCTGGCTGGGAGACGGGCTCGGCAGCCCCGGCAGTGCTCGGCGACCCTGCCGCGCAGGTGCTGAGCAGAACGGAACAGCTCCGGCCAGAAGCCGGGGCTGGCGAGGGAGGCGCGCTCTGGTGTGCCCGTCCGTGACCCTTCCCTGCCCGGGGTCATCTCCCCTTGAAGATCCGGATCTTGTCGATGGACGCCAAGGTGGCCGTGACGACGGACTCGAAGTCCCCGTCGTGCACCCCGGTCTTGCGGAAGGCCCCCGCCGACGGGTTGTTCTCCCAGTAGTGGTGCCAGTTGCCTTTGCTGTCTGCCCCGAAGCCGTACAAGTCCACCTGTGCGGGGCGGTGGCAAAGGTGAGGACCAGACGGGGGGGGCCAATGAAAGGACGCCCGCAGACCATCCCGAATCTGAGAACATCCACTCCGAGGACCACAGAAACCTTCTCTGGTTCCTAGCGCTCCCTGGGGTTCGGGGCCACAAAAGCGAGTTGGGTGAAATCAAGGTCAATGTGAGGGCCCATGAGGGACGGGGCTCTGGTGGCACGGAGCAGGTGTCACACTGGGGTTGGGTCGTGGAAAGTGCGTCGAAGAGGGTCAGGGAGGGACATGGGGGGGGCTCCCAGGGGGAGGAGCGCTTTCTGAGCTGCTGCAGTGTGGGTGACAGGTTTGAGGGGTGGGGACAGACGGGGCAGGGCAGGCAGGGGATGGCTCTGAGGCAAGGGTAGCTTTTTCAGTCAATGCCGGCGTGGGCCTGAGCCTGCCCCACAGCAGGACGGCAGAGACGGGAGTGGGGTTTCCGGGGCAGAGCCCCACGGGGTGTGTGACCCGCGGGCTGGAGGCGGGGCGGGAGATGGGAGCGACACCCAGTTGCTGGTTAAAGAGACTAGGACAGTGACAGACGGGTGAGGCAGGAACCGTGGGCGTGCCGGGCAGCCCCTCCACCCCTCCCTGGGGCTTCCAACCCTGAGCCAGGCAGGCTGGGGTGGGGACAGGCTACATGTGACAAGAAGGGACATCTCAGCGTCCTGCCTGAACCCAGGGCCAGGGAGAAAGTGGGGGCCGCTGTGTCCCCCTCCTGCTCCCCTGCCCCAGGTGGATGTCGAGGGAAGTCTGCGGTGGGGAACGCACTCTTCCCAGGACCTCTGGTTGTCAACCCCAGGGGACAGTAGGACCCCCGGGTGCCTGGTTCCCACCCTCAGAAGTTCCAGTGAATGTGGGCTTGGGGCGGCCCGGGTGCTGGGACTCGGCTCCGAGGCCAGAGGTGCAGACCGACAGATCTCTTACGGGGCAGCCTGCCCCCGTGGCCCCCGATCTGCCCTTCTGCCCGCTGGCCCTGGCTCTGCCTGGGGAAGCTCGGGCAGAACGAGCCAGAACTCACTCCGGAGAGCGTTCTCCCTCAAGCACCCCACGAGAGGCACCAGCAGGCCCCCTGGGGCCTGGGGTCAGGGAGCAGGCTCGAGGAGCCCCGGGCCCGCCCCCCCCCCCCCCGCCCCGCGTGCACAGCAGGCCCAGGGGAGGGTGGCGCACCTCGTCGCAGACGTGCAGGGAGAAGATGACGGAGAGGATGCCGGTGGACGGGTACCGCCCGTGGCCCTGCAGCCAGCTGTCGAAGACGTACTTGATGAAGGCCGGGTGGTATATCAGGATCTGCGGGAGGGGAGCACAGGCGTCAGCGGGGCGGCTGGGGAAGGGCGCCGCCACCTACAGGTGGGCCACACACTCTGGCGGCCGGGGGGGGTGGTGTGCACATGACAGGGACTGCTGCCGCCCCGGTGCTCGTGGGGTTTGCATGGTCCTAGTGGGAAGACACGGAAGGTGCTAGAGGAGAACCGTGGGAGCGGGGAGAGGGATAAAGCGGAGACAGGCGATGGAGCCCCACGGGGAGGCGGCTTGACCAGCTGGCGACATCGCACGACAATCCCACGAGGACAGAGACTGAGGGAGACAGTGGGGTGGGGGTGGGGGGGCGCAGGAGGAGGGCCCGGGGGACAACAGGAGGTGGGGAGGGACGAGGACACACCTGCCACGCCGCAGAAGAACTCGCGCACTGAGCTGCCCCGGCTACCTGGCCCGGGCCTGGATGAACGCTGGTCCCTAAAATGACCCCACGTGCGAGCTTCCCCTCTCCTCCTGTGACCGAGGGGGACGCCGAGACCCGGGAGGCTTCGAGACAAGCTCAGTGCCACACAGCCAGCGGTGACCCAGCAGGGGGTGTCCTGGCATCAGGTGTGGCCTTGGCCCCACCACCCAGGGCGGCCTTGAGGACAGTGAGGGGCACCCGTCGGGCAGCAGAGGGGGGAGCACGCACAAGCAGCCTCATGCAGCGCCCCCGGTGGGGGGAGGCCCGGAGCGGGCACTGGGCTCGAACCCGCTGACCTCTCGGCCTGGCCTCTCTGGGAGCCCCTGCCCCCGCTGTGCCCCACAGATTCACGCGTGGCTTCTCCGCCGCAGCACGGCAGCCCCACACGACAGGCACGTGCAAGAGGCATGTGCGGGAGGCCGGGGGGAGGGGCCTGAGGCTCCAGGTCACCACAGCCCCACCGCGCTCCCGGGCAAGCTGCCTGGCCTCCCTGACCTGACCTCCCCCCCAGATGAGAGCGCGTGGGCAAAGGGCCAGTGCGGTGGCTGCTCCCCTTCCTTCTGCCCTCTGCCCGGCCTTGGCCGACCCCACCCGGGGGAAGACGGAGACACAGGTACGGCCTGCAGACACAGGGGAGGCCTGGCTTGGAGAAGCTTGCACCATGGAGCGGTGGTTCTCAAACTGCAGCCTCCTGGGCACCCCCGGAGGCCTTCCAAAAACCCGGAGGGGCCTGGGGTGAGCCTGGGGATCGGCCTCAGGGACAGTCTCCCCGGTGAAACTGCTGGCCCTGGTCCCCCCACTTGGGGAAGCTTTCCCAGCGAGTCTCCCCAGCAGGGACCCCCGCCAGTGCACCCAGGGGCTCTGGCAGCCAGATGCTGGTGGGGGCAGGGGGCGGGGGTGGATGGTGCTGTCTCTCCCACGGGCAGAGCCGTGGGCTGATCTCAGGGCAGAAGAGCCCGAACCCCACTCACCTGGTCCTTCTTCACTTTGATCTTCGCGGGGACAGGCACGTAGGTGCTGTGCGGGGAGAGAGAGTATACGGTCAATGTGGGGAGCAGCCGGGCTGCCTGCGGGCAGCTCTGGGGGTGGCTGGGGAGGGAAGCCGGGCCAGGCTGCATCTCTGGGACAGCGCCTCCCCGCCGCAGCCCTGCAGTGGCCCGTGACAGACACCAGAGGGCGACCTTGGCTCACTCGAGGGCCTTCCGCAGCTTTCTGTGCCTTCTCCCAGGGAGGATGAAAAGGGGCACTTGCTCCAAGCCCCCCCTGCCCCGCACAGCCTGAGGGAGCACATGGAGGCCAGAGCACCTACCGCCCTGTTGGGGTGCTAGTCGGTGAGGCCTACGCCACCTCCCTCTCACCTGCGAAGGTCTGGGTGCCTCCAAGATGAAGGCCACTGGCTTCGCCCCAGACCTAACTCAGGTGCAACTTGGGCTCCGAGCCCCTGGGACCAGGAGCAACGACAGGGCCCTGACCCGAGGCCACCAGGCTTCTCCCCTGTCAGAACCCTTCTCCTGAAGGCACAGCCCCCTCCCGTGTCCTGCACCCCGGTCTTCACTGAGCCTCACGCCAGGAGGCTCTGGCCATCTGGACACTGAAGCCACTTTCCCCGGGCACGGCACAGCCTTAGGGAGCGGACCAGGTGCGGGCCATGCCCGGCCACCCCTCAGGGTCCTCCCTGGCAGAGGGAGGCGGATAACCACTAACCAAATAACCATTTGGCCAGACAGCACACAGCCATGCCTGGTGCGGAGTAGATGCCCGGAAGGCATGAGCTCCCCAGTCTCAAGGCAGCGCATGATGGGGGACTCACACCAGCGCCCACCCACTCACTCAGCACCCCATCTCCCCACCTGCTCCCCACCCCATCCAGGGCCACTTCTAGTTCGAGAAGCAGGTAGCACTGCAGAGATAGGGGCGGGAGTAAGGTGAGCTGAGCCCCTCCCGGCGGGCCCTTCCCCAGGAGTTGCTAGGGTTCCTGGGACGCACCCCAGGCTGGCCCACTCGCGGGTCAGGAGGAAGGAAAAGGATGAAATCCGGGGTGTGTTCAGAGTGATGGGAGGTGGGGGAGCAGGGAGCGTGGGGGGTCGGAGGCGCCCTGCGGGGCTGGTGCCGCCCAGGAGGACATGTGTGGAGGGACGCATTTCGGGGACAGGAGCAGCGTGAGCTGGGCTGTGGGGCAGGGAGCAGCGTGGTGGGGGGTGCTGGGGGCACCCACATGGTGAGGAGGGTCAGTGAGGGGCCAGGCAACGGACCCCCCCAACCCAGACAGCCCGAGGGAGCTTACTGGGAGATGGTGCCCGTGGTGGTGGCACTGACCACCCACTCCAGGTCGAGGATCTTGAAGGGGACCAGAACCATGCTGACGTTGTGGGCCAGCTCCCTGAAGCTCTCAGGGTACATGAGGTGGTGGGTGGTCTTGCTCCCCACGTCGACTTCAAACCCCGCGGTGGGGGCCTTGTTCATCCTGGGAGGAGAAGGGAGAGAAGACACCTGTCGTATCACACGGTCACCGACCCCAGGGGACAGCTGTGACCTCAGGCCAGGGCCCTCCTCCCACCAGTGTCCTCGCCTATCCAACGGAGACAGTTACCAAACAGCTCAAAAGATTTGTTGGTTCTTTTTCTCCTTTACGATCTCAAGTAAGCCTAACTGTCACCACCACTGATGACCTACTAAGCGCAAGCTCTGCCATGGCCAAGTGACACACTTCATTAAACTGTACGATGCCGTGCCCAGCAGGGGTTTCACCATCCAGGAGACCTGAGCACACAGAGTCTGTCCCAGGACACAGAGCTACCAGAGCTGTCAGCCTTGAACTTGCGTCTGTCTGACCCTGAACCTGACTCTGTCCCCCTCGCCGTGGACGTCCCCGTTGAGCTCCAGGTGTACGCCGAGGCTCCGAGAACAGCAATGACAAGAAACCAGAAGAGACGGGGGGCTCCTTCCTGGAATATCTGTTTCACTTGGTGGCAGGAAAATATATTTTACATTAAAAGCGTATAGTTATAGTGTTGGGAACTGTCCTGCCTGGTTTCAGAAGCTGTAACCCCCTGTAGCTAAGGCTGAATAAAGGACCTTGGGACCATAAGCCACTAAGGAGACAAAGTTTATCTTCCTTGTAGGGGCGCCACCTCTGCCCCCTTTCTCTTCACCCTCCTTGGCCCCAGGTGGATGACTGGTTAGCCAATGACGGGTAAGATTCCTCAAACGAGGGATGACCTAAGATAGGCACAGTCGCAAAGGGGCCCTCAGGGAAGGACTTGGGGGGCTATAGAAAAAGGGGGTGATGGACCTTTGCCCCTCAGCTTTGACACAGCCTGAGTCCTCATTCTGTCTGCAGGAAGTCTCCTAATCTCTTGGCTGCCTTACTTCCCCTGGCTGACTTAAGCCTGAAACAATGCTGGAGGTGGGTGTGGCCCTGTGCTGGAAAGGGCGGGTTCCCTAGGGCAATCAGGCCTAAGAAAGAACACATAAAATCCTATGAAACCTGCTTTGCCAATACACTCAATTAAAATGATGAGGGTCCAAACACGAAATGAGTTTGTTCCCCAAAGTTTTATGGCCCTTTCACTACCTGACCCTGACTCAGAATAAATGCTCAGCGTTCTGTGAATGTTATCTATTGTTGAATCGTCTCTGCCTGACAACGACTGATGAGCTTTACGTATACACCCTGTATTCCTGTGCAAATTGAACCTGACAAAAGCTTGTCAAGGCAAGGGTCAAGGCACTCTCCCCTTGAGAGAGGAGCCTTGCCGTCCCTTTCCCTCCACAGGACTCGGCAGTCCACGTGAATTCGTCTTGTCTCATCCCTAACGCCGAGGACCCCAGGAGCCGGGATCCGCGTCACTAGAGTATGGCCTACATTGCAAAATGGGAACCATTGTAAAGATCAAAGGAGAACCTTCACGCCAATCCTGCTGTCTCGCCAGAACTCTCGGGGCCAAGCCCCCGGCCCGCCGGTCCTCCCTGCCTCCAGAGGGGCCCCGTGAGTCCGCCTCCATCCTGCCGTGCACAGGGGATGGGGAGCCTGCGGCCCAGAGGGGGCCCCCGCGAGGGGCCGGGCGCTCACCTCAGCACGAAGTCGTGACCGTCTATCTGGGACCCGTACTCGGACCCCCGCAGGTTGCCCGAGTTGCCCACGACGGCGCAGCGCCGGCAGCCCTGCGACTTCTTCTCCAGCAGGGGGTCCACGTTCCCCGGCACCACTCGGAAAAGCATCTTGAGGGTGTCGTTCAAGTCACTGGGGCGCTTCTCCCGCTGGAGCTTCTGTGGGCGGAGGACCAAAGGACACGGGTCGGCCTGGCTGTGCTGCCCCTGGCCGGGGGGGGCGGGGGGAGGCAGGCGGGGGGGGCTCCACCACGTGTCCAGTGGCAGATGAGTAGATGGAACAATGCGGACTACACATACAGTGGAGTATCATTCCGTCCAAAAAAAAAAAAAGGAGGTTCTGATGCAAGCTACGGCATGAGTGGGCCTTGGAGACACGCTTAGTGCAGTAAGCCAGGCACCGAAGGACAGGGAGTGTGTGAGTCTACTCACAGGAGGTCCCTAGAGGAGTCAAGTTCATGGACAGGAAGTGGAACGGGGATTGCCGGGGGCTGGGGGAGGGGAGGAAGGGACAGGGCGTTGGGCGGTGAGGCCAGGTCTAGACAGTGGTGCTGCTTGCGTGGCCCTGTGAACGTACTCAAAGCCACTGACAAGTTCGCTGACAAACGGTGAAGGTGATAAATATGGTTGTATCACAACAGGAGAAAAGCGATAATCCGGGATTAAACACCTGCTTCTGATAAGACTTCCCGGGGCAGCTCCGAGCTCCGGAGTGGGTCACCGCCCAGGGTCGCCCCCCTGCCCGTGAGGATCCTGACCCAGCCAGGCTGGCCCGGGCCCCACAACCTGCCCGTCCAACAGGCTCCCAGGCCATGCGGCAGCCGCTGCTGGTGCGGGGACCACACTCCGAAAACCCCTGGGGTAGGGGCCCCAGCGGAGGTCCCCCCAGGAAGGGCCGCTGTGCACCCCAACATTGCAAAGTGCTCAGGCCATAAAGCCCTCACAGCGCCCTCTGCTCTGGCTTATCTATAGCGGATCCTCAGCGAGTAGTTTTGGAATGAACGAACGAGTGAAGGAATGATGGATATCGTGATTTTTGCAAAGAGCCCGGCAGGGCCCCGGGGGTGTGCCCAGGCGCCGGGGCCCCCGCTCACCCCCGGCCCCCGCGCTGCCCCAGCTCTCACCAGCCACCAGCTGTAGGTGCTGTCCTCCAAGAGCGCGTTCTGCGCCGTCAGCAGCGGCTGCACGGACCAGTTGAAGCGCTCGTCGAACCAGGGCGAGACCCCGCGCTGGCTGAGGCAGCGGGCGCAGGTGCAGGGCCTGTGCGAGTAGGTCATCAGCTTCTTGAAGTTCTCCGAGAGCTCGATGACGATCTGCTTGGGGAACCAGGTGGTGGTCACCGCGATGTGGGAGTAATTCAGGAGGAAGGAGGTGAGGAAGATGAAGAGGACCAGGAGGGTGAGCACTTTGAGGGTCCTTCTCCTTATGGCCGCCATGTCTGCTGTCCTGAGGAGGGCTCCCAGGGATGGGTGGGAGGAAATCGCGCCTAACTGAGGAGGGACCTAGAAGAAAAACCCCAGAGATGGGGGCTCGACCCCAAGGCCACGTGAGAACTCCCGGGGGGGGGGCCTCAAGCCCTGCTCCGGCCGACTTCCCTTCGTCTTGCTGACGGCCACCCCGGTGCACCGGACTTCACCCCGTGACACCCAAAGGCTACGTGGACCATTCAGGGTGGGATGACTCTTCTTGCACGAAACTGGTCTCTTCCGGAAACAAAGCCACCTGCTGGGCCAGCAAACCTCAGACCGCCGGTCCTGTCTCCTGATGCACCGTTCATCAAGCTCAACACCAGTGGTTCCCTTCCCCGTCCAAAGGGGTTGAGGAGTAAGTAATTAATCTTGGTGACGGTGTCGGGTCCCTCGGGGGCGAGGACCCGGAAGGGAGGTTCGCAGTGCAGGACGGAAGGAGGCTGTTTTTGTCACTGTCCCTCGGAAAGGATGGCGTGTGATGGTCCTTAATTAGAACTCCCTGCCCACGCTGGCTCCCAAGAGGTGGCGGTCAGGCAGTGGGCTGGAGGCAGGCACGGGGGGCTGTCTGTCATCTGCACAGAGAAGGAGGGAGAAAGCAGGATGAAATTCTATTCCCGTGCTATTAAAAAAAAAATTCTCTGTCCCCACCTCCTCCAGGATGAATTCTATTACCTTCTGCTCTGCGGTCAAGCCGGTGTGGCAGGTGACCACAAGGGATTTTTTTTATACACGGAGCCTTGGTGTGTGCACGTACACAACGAGATGTCAAGGCCCATTCTGCGAGGTCGGCGAGGGGCACCGGGGTGTCTCGCCCATCTTCCCTAGTGCAGTTCAGCGTTCAACCCGATTTCGGGACCTGAGTCAGTGCTGCAGTTGCAGGGGCTGCTGAGGACCCCCCCCAACCCCCCACTCTGTTTGGATCCCAGTGCCAACAGCATAAAAGGTGTGCTGAGGAGCTCGTCCTGGCTTCCGTGCACCTTGGCATTCAGGCTCCACCACGTATCCTTGGCCCCACAGAGTAGACTGTAGATGGCCCAAGTTCAAGTTCAAGTTCTGGTTCATAGCCCTTTCTGGCCCTCAGTTTCCTCTTCGGTAAAGTGGGGTAATGCCACATCCGCTTACAGAATGGTTAGGAAGATACGATAAAATGACAGCTGCTGAGCTTCTGGTATCTAATCAGGCAATTGATCGGCCTTAATTTTCCTTTTTCAATGAATGAATATTCTTGGATGACCCACTAAAAGCCAGACACGATGGCATATTCTTCACACAAATCTGTGCACTCAGATAATCCTAAGTCTACTGCCAGCTGTGAAGTGGGGGTTTCCCATGTTGTTGGGGGAAGGAGGAGCAGGTCTGAATCCAGACCCACAGTCCTCTGACTGCATGGACCTGGAGGGGCTGGGGGGCCAGGGTCAGGAGTGGGGCTCTGCTGACCCCGGTGCCCCGGGGAGGCACCCCTGTCTGTTAACCAGTCTCTGGAGGGCAGAGTGGGAGGGATATAAAGAAAGGGGAGCATCCGTAGTCAAAGGAAGCAACCACAGGCCCCCAGACCTCACTGGTGTTGTCCAGCTTCTGCAGAGAAAGCTGTGGCCACACCTTTGCCCTTGACCATGAAGGAGCCCTTTTGGCCTTTGCTTGGACTGTGCCCCCATCTCCACTTGTCTGATCAAGTCTCCCCCATGCTCAGCCTGTGGGTCATCAACAAGCGGGTACATGTCCTTCCAGGACAGCGACATTGGAAGGAACAGCGACCGCCTTCAGGGAGACAGAGAGGCCGCTCGGGAATGGTTACACACCCACAGTGCCCGCCTGGAGACACCCGGGGCCCCAGGTGCGCGGCGGCCCCTCCGGCTTCCTCGGCACCTCGGCTCGGCCGGCAGGGTCACCCTGATCTGCCTCCTGCTCCACTGTCACCGTCCTGACAATCTGGCTTGCATGTGGAACCTAAGGGTGACCACGGTCCTCCCTCCCCGGCCATCCCCCAGCCCCTCCACCCAGAAGCAGCCCTGGGGCGAGGTGAACCTTCCCAGGCCGGCGGCTCCTTCCGCTTCACCCCGGCTGGCAGAGGGCTCCCACCCCTCTTACCCTGGAAGTCGGTCCAGGCATGAGAATGCACCCTAACTCTGTCCAATCACAGTGAAACCCCTGACTTCTGTCCAACGGTCAGAATCTGTCCTTCGCTCTGGTCCGTCTGGTGTCTGGGTGTGGAAGTCGGGGCCGTGCCAGTCATTCTGCCTGCTCGTGGGCGGGGGGGTGGCCGGACGGGACCAGAGGGGCGCTGTTGAGTCCCTGCTCTAGCCGCCCCTGCAGCTGGCCCTCCATTTTGACCTCTCAGGGACATGAGATAATAAATCCCCTTTATTGTGTAAAGCAGGCTGCTTGCAACTGGAAGCAACACAACTGACCCACACAGGTCACAGTCGCTTTTGCCTCTGGGCTCCCGCCCAGGCTGACCCCGTGGGCGGAAAGGCCGTCCCGCCCGGCCGGGTGCTCGAGAGTCCTTCAGGGCCGAGCGGGCACTGACACCCCGAGAGAGGCCTGCCCACACCTGGCACGAGGAAGGGCCTCTCTGGATGTCCGCAGCACCCCGGCTCCCTCCTGCCTGCCCTGTTTACTTCTCTGTCTCCTTCCCCCTGGGCTGGGAGCTCCATGAGGATGGGCACTCAGTCTCACTCACCGTGTCCCTGTCACCGGGCACACGCACGGCATCAGGAAGGCAGGAGTGAGTGGGGGGAAAGGCAAGGGCTGACTCTTCGGACGCCCGAGCGAGAGCATAGACTCAGGGTCAGAGGACGCCGCGTCACCCATTCGCTGTGTGACTCTGAACAAGCTACCTAACCTCTCTGAGCCATTCCTTGAACTGCAAAATGGGACTGACGGTAGAGATTGGGCTCGCATCTGGGCGCTGCCCATCAAGCAAGATCTGTCCCTCCATCCGATTCACTCGCTGTTGTGTTTCTGCTGGGCCCTGGGCTGGGCCGGCACGGGGGTAGGGGGCTGAGATGCCTGATGAATGATTCCAAGGCGGCAGAAAGGAGGCTGGTGTGCCTGATCAGCGTGGAGGGGAGGAGCAGGCACGTGTGGGGAGGGGTGGCGGGTGAGAGCGTGCGCAGCTGCGGAAACCGTGCCCAAGACCAGGTTTTCTCCGAGTGACGCAGAGCCCGCTGCAGGGTCTCTGAGCGGAGCAGGGGCAGGGTCTCACCGCATTCGTCTTGGGGATGAGCGGGGCCCACGGTGTTCTTCCTGCCTTTGCATCCCAATGCCAGAGGCAGGGGCGAGTTCACTTCAATAAACGACACTGACCAAACAAGACTCTGGACGAGAGGCGAGGTTCCCCACCACGTCCCGGCTCCGTGTGAGATACAAACACGCTCAGCTGACGCTAGCGGTAGTGTGAGACCAAGGGCGAGGCTGAGCTGCAGAGCCCGGGCAGGGGGCGGCAACACCCTCCCCCCCCACCATCTGGCCCAGCCTAGGAGCCGCATTTCCTAGGTCACAGCACTCACTGGGCTCCCACTTACCAGCAGAGGCTCCTGGGCTGGTAACAATTAGTGCTTTTGAAAACGCTGGAGAAAAAACCACAGCAGAAAAGCAAGAAGGCCCCTCCACCCTCCCCAGGCCCCGGGGAAGAAAGCGGGTGTACGTGACGCCCCTGTCCTCTGTTCAGGAAAGCAGCCTGTGACACAGACGCAACCCCAGCCCTAGCTCCCCCAGACAGGACCTGGGCCAGGACGCCACAGGCCGAGGATCCCTGCCTGCCAAGTGGGCCGCACCTTCCCAAAACAAAGAGCCAGAGGAGAGGGCAGGGGAGGCCCCGGCTCCTTGTCCTGTCTGCAGGAGGGACGCAGAGAACATGTAACAGCCTAACGGGGTCACCAGCGACACCCATTCAAGGGCTCAGAAGGTGTGGATCTCCCTAAGGAGGGGCCCCAAGGAAGACAAACGTCCCTGGCAACAGAGAGACGGTGGCAAGGACTGGCCGCTGAGAGAGCTGTTCCAAGTACCTGGAACGCCCAGGGAACGAACAGCGTGGGTCTCTCAGCGTTTCCCCAACGCCTGCTGAACTGTGCGGCTGTTAGCGCGAGGCTGGGCGCGCCCCCTGCCCCTGGCGTGGCCCCCCCGGCATGTGGGGGCTGGTGGAATGAGGGGCGAACCCTGCGGGCTGGCAGGAAGATTCGCATTTCTAATGAAGAGCTGTCACAGCCGCCCTCCCTGTGGTCCTCACACCAACGGGGCAAAACGGCCATCACGTCTGTTTCCCTGAAATGGGGAACGGAGGTCCAGAGAAGGCGAGTGACTTGTCCAAGGCCACACAGTGAAACGGAGGCAGGGCCAGCACTACGCCCCGGGCGTCGGCGTCCTCTCGGACGCCTCCACGTCGCCACGGCCCGTCCTTCCGTCCCACCGACACCTGCTGTCTTTACTATTTGCTTTCTCGGCGTTTCTTCGGGTTTGGGCTCTGTCGTCTTCCCAGCTTCTTGAGGCGGACACTGCCTGGTTCTCCCTCTCTTCTGCTGCGCCTGCTGCGTCCGAATCACGCCTTACGTTGACTTTGCTTCTCGCACTTCTCGGGGCCGGCATCTCCATCGGAGCGGTCTCCGTGTGCGCTGCAGGTTTCCGGCGGAGTTCTCCCTCTGTCGCCTGTCTTCCTGCAGTCGGTCATCACAGTGACTCGAACGGCCACGTCCCAGCCTGTGGCATTGGGATCACATCTGGTCTCACGTGGGTCTGTTTCTATTGCCTGTTTTCTCCCTCGGGTCCTCCGGGCGGCCCTCCCTCGGCCTGGAGGACTGAGCGTACGTACTGTGTGCGGCACAAATGCAGAGGCGCCGCCGTCAGAGAGAAGGCTGTTTCATCCTGGGGGCGGGTACAGAGCAGGGGCCCATGACCTTGTCCCGCATGGGGACTGGGACCATGGGGGCCGCCCCTCGGTCGCCTGTGACGGTGGGTGTCCCTGGGGCGCCCTCACCGAGGAGGCGCAGCCCTTCTCCAACGAGAGCTGGGACGCCTACCGGGGTGCGTCCCCCTCGCAGGCTGCCACCTCTGAGTCCCGTCTCCCCTGCGCGGGGGAGACTGCCACAGCTCTGCCTCGCCTTCGAGCCTCGTGGCCGCTGTCCTTGGCTCGCTTTCTCGGGCTCCGGATCCCAGCACCTGCAGCCCTGGCAAAGGCCGTCAAACGGAAGGGGACTGCGGCATGGTGGCCGTCTTCTCCGCGCTTCCCTCCGGTCCGGGTCCTTGGCTCCTTAGTTTTGGCTGACTCGGTAGTCCTGCACGCGACTTTTTATTTGATTTGTTTTACCGCACCGTCCCACCCCACCGCCACCCCAGCCTTGGGAGACAGTCTGAGGCTTTGCCTCAGTTTCTCCATCTGCACGCACAGGGCTGTGCCAAGGAGGACACGAGTCGGTGCAGGTGAAGAAGCATCCGGGCACCTGGCAGGTCGCAAGTGCTCCGGAACGTTAGGTCCCACTACTGAATGCCCTTCCGGTGCACCGGCCTCCCCCTTCCTGCAGGGGGCAGAACGCACACCCCACCCGCATCCTTTCCGCCCCACTTTATTTGCCAGAGG